GTAATTGGAAAAATAAAATATATGGTGATTGGCGGGCAGGGAGGATGACATCTTGAACCGTTTTCAAGCGTTTGAGGCTCTGCAAAAGCTGAAACCTATTTCTCCCAGCTCCTCTTCCTTCTAATTCTGATGTTTCTGGCCACGCCTGTGGAGAAGGAGGAGCCCGCACCATGTGCTTCCAATTCCCGAGCACTTCATGGGAAGACCGTGGGTCGGGGAGAGGTGTCCGAGACACGGCCACCCCGAGCCCGGGCCTCTGGGATCAGCTCTTTCCTCTGTGCGTTTCTTCTCTTACAAGAAGGTGGTCATCGCTTCCCCCTCTGGGAAGTAGTTGTGAGCCACAGCAAAGTAGAAACCCTACAACTGTGCAGTTTGGCAGGGTGAAAACTTGTGGGATTCCTTTCTCAAACTGCAAGAAGAGACAGAGAACCTGGTACCTGGAGCTGGGAGCAAGCAGCTTGCCCCGAGCTCCTCCGCCCAGAGTCCCAGGGCCACTGTCCTCAGACATGGCCACCGCTTCCTCTGTCTGCTGCCTCCTGCCATCCAGGGAGTCTTTGTCATTTTCAATGTGTATTTTTCATTTGTAATTGTTACTAGAAGTTGTCAGACCTGAGGGTGCTGTGGGACATTTCAGACGTGTCTATAATGTGTGGTGACCAGATCCAGTTAACCGGGGTATCTATCATTGTTTATTTGTGATAGGAATACTCAGAGCTCCTGTCTCCTGGCTGTCTTGAAACACACAGGGGTGTTCACCCACCAGCCCCCACTCGCCCGCTGCCCTGGGTCCTGAACCCACCGTGAGCCACCGCCTTAGGATGCTCGGGTCAGGATGGCAGCGGTCACGGACTCTGCTTGACCCCTCTATGCCCCTTCCAAAGCAACGGGAGGGGGTGCCAGTCAGAGCAAGCAGGGAAGGCGGCCTGGGGGCCAGAGCAGGACGCAGGGACTGCCGCTCGCTCCTGCATCCTCCACGCCCTCGGGCCAAGGACGGGAGCTCTGATCGCCTGATGAAGTTCCTCTCCACTTCGATGCTCTAAAGGCCAGTTAGCGGCTACAGCTGTGAAGTGTGAGGAGCTTCATATTCATCCTCCACTCTGAGGCTAAGGAAAACGTCCAGCGGTGTAATGCGAAGCGCATCGGTGTTTTACCAAAAACCTTGCAAATGTTGCAAAATCTTCAGATTTCTTAAAGAGTCTGTGCTTCAGCGTCATACAAAGTCTCTCTCTCTCTCTCTCTCTCTCTCTCTCTCTCTCTCTCTCTCTCTGTCTCCAAGTGTCCCTTTGCCCAAAGGCTGAGAAAATAAAACAAGGATGATCTCAACATCAAAGAGCTGAGAGAGGACTTGGAGACACTGGCCAAACACTCCAAGTCTTTTGACCAAAAAAAAAAAAAAAAAAAAATTAAAGATAGCCTTATGAATGCACTGCAGAAGGCCGATATAAAGCCGACCTATTTATGTGAGATTTCTAAGCCTTGGCCTTGGAAGGAGATGTCACACTGCCACTTTCTTTTTTCAGTGAAAATAACATTCGTTTCATTTGCTGTATGTTCTAAAAGTGACCGTGTGGTTTTAATTAAGACCCACACAATGTTAAAAGGCAGATCAAATGTATTTTCATAACATTCACTTTTCCAAAGAAAGTCCCCTTCAAAGCTTCCCACATACCCCTCTTCAACTATTTTTACTTGCACTTTGAAGTGGATTCTTTGTGTATTTCACTTGCTGGGAATGGGAGTCTGCAGAAGCAGGGTGTCCCACAGCCGTGCAGTGGGCACAGGGAAGGGTCACCTTGTGCCCCGTGAGGGATGACACCATCAAGTCTGGAGTGTGCACTAGGTGTCAGACGCTCTGCTGGGCTTGGGGAGGGACAAAGAGGAGAATAAGTCGGGGTCCCTAACTTCTAAACCCATCCTCGGTGTGGGGGCAGGCAAACAGCCATGCTGGAAGAGAAGCAGCCCTTGCTGGAGCTGGGAGCCACACAGAGAGGGACACAGAGCTGCCTCTGGGTGTGAGGTGTGAGCAGAGTTGGGGCGCCCTGGCTGGAGAGCAGGGAGCAGAGCAACGGCACCATGAACCAGCAACTGCGAAGTCGGGGCTCCCGACCCAGAGTCTGGGAACCTGCAATCAGAACATTGTGATGACGAATCGGTTTGGATCATTTGCAAGTTAGAGGCTGAGGCCCTGCACACACAGATGTGCACAAACACACACACACACACACACACACACACACACACACACACACTCACTCACAGATCCAACACTAGCCAGGCTTGCGAGGACCTTCTTATGCAAATGGGCTGCCCCTGGCTCCCCAAGACCCCCAGCATCTTCTCTGTCACAGCACAGGGCTGTAAGCCGTGACAGTAAGTGCCACTGGCCCCATAGACCCAGTTTCCCGTGGGAGTGAAGCCGTGATTTGTCTCCCCTCCCCTCCTTCCTCCTCCTGTTCTCCTCCCCCTCCTCCATGGCTCTAACACTTCCCTGGGGACCAGCGGAAGCCAGGCCCTGTGTTCACAGAAGCGAGGCTGGTGGCAGCTGTGAAGGGGCGGCCACCTCTGCAGCCACTGGAAGGGCCCTGGCCAGCCTGGTGCCCTGGGGTCCTCAGATTCCCTCCGGCACCCCGATGTTTCTCCCAAGAACAGTGCATCTGTGTCTCCAGGTACCTATGGTGTCTCTGTCCAGAAGGTGTGTGAGGATGGGGACATCCACGTCTGTGAGCAACACCCCAAACTCTTACCCGCAGCAGCCGTCGCAGTCCTTGTCCCAAACCCTCAGGCGGTACAGGGAGCCCCACCGGGGACTAAGGGGCCAGAGGATATTTTGACAGTTAATTCACAAATGAATTCCCCATCGAAGCATCATCGGCCCTGTGTTTCTTCCCGTCCAAACTGGCCTTTCTGCGCATGGAGCGCTCCTCAGAGCCCCAGCACCTGCCTGGTCTGGAAGCGTGAGAGGCGGCGCCCCGGCGCGCACAGTGAGCACAGGGTCTGCTTTTCCCACCAGCACCGACCAAATAAAATGCAAATCTCCATGCGGAGCCGCCCCTCCCCCGCAGCCCGCTCCGGATGGTGTCTGCGGTTCGTTTTTTTACAAGGAGCCTTTAAAAAGCTCCTGGCCCCTCAAAAGCTCCCAGCCCCCTTTGTCCAGATGGGCACGGAGGTGGCCAGGCTGCCCGGTTGATTGTGCGCTGCGAAGCCCTCCCCGGGAAGGCTGTGATTTATACGCTCAGACTTGTCACGGGGTGAAAGGAAGGGCCACTTCTTCATTTTGATCAAATGTTAGGCTGGAAAGCCACCCCTGCTGTAAAGTCAGCTGGATCTGCGGGCGGAGATGAAACACATTGCCCGCTTTGTTGCCTGCCGGGATGGTGCTTCGGAAGGCAACGTGTGTACTTCCCCTGGCCCGGCTCACACTGGCAAAATGTGGGTCGCTGGGCCAGGAGTGGACGGGCCTAGCTCCAGGGGAGCTGGGAGGAGAGAGGAGGCGGCGTGGGCTGGGGGCTTTCCTTCCGCCGGGCCAGCCAGACCTCCGAGTGGCCCATGCTGCCTTGGCCACCCCGCACAGCACGGCCCACAGTTCCATCCTTTGAGGGGTGCGCACAGGTGTCCCCACCCCCTCCAGACGGCGGCTCATTCTGACCCTTCCCTGATGCCCTGGGATTTCTGTTAAAGGAACCTACTGTCCCCAGAGTGCATGACCACCCTTCATGACACTACAACTTCTTAGCTGGACACAGATTCTCCTATGTCTGGGTCACGGAACATCTGATGGTTCCCTGGGTCTGACCTGGCAATAACAGACAGGAAAATTGCCTTTGTCTCTCTCTCCTGTGATGGAGCCAGGGTCCAGCCCCCGAACAGAGAAAGAGTCCTTCCCACCAGCTAGTCCCCGCTTCAGGGGTGGGAAGCACGCGCCTGCCTGCCAGATGACCCCATGAGGTGCAGGCACATCTCCCACTCACTACTTTTGGGTAGCTGGGTCTGTCATCTCATAGGCAAGAGGGGCACTGCCAACCTGTGCCACAGAGGCGGAGGCTGAGGCAGGCATTCCAAGTTGGAGCAGAGCAGGATGCCAGGGAAAGGGGACTCCAGAGGAGCCGGTCCTGTGTCCCCAAGCTCCTGGCCCCGTCAGTGCCCTGGAAAGGGTGAGGGCTGTCACCCGCTCTCTGTGATGGAATTATTGGGGTACAGGCAGGCTGTGGGGCCCCTAATCTTCGTGACAATGGTGGTGATAATGGGCCGCCTCTGGGGCAGACTGGGTCATGGCACCACGGGAGGAAGGAAAGAGGTGGGACTGACAGGCAGCTACCCTCCCTGCTGGCTCCCTGCGGAGGAGGAAGGCTGGGCACTGGGCAGAGAGCCGGCAGTGCATGTGAAGGAAAAGCTGCGCCCCTGTGCAGGATAGAGGGGTGCGCAGTGAGCCTCCGGCCACGTGGGCTCCTGGCCTCCCCAGAGTCAGGGAAGAGCTGCTCCTGTCGCCTGCTGAACTGCATCTGCTGAGTACACAAGGACACCTCAGTGTGTGGGGAGCAGCGGCGGGGGCCCAGAGGTGGAAGCTGAGACCCTCGCGTCACCACCTGTGCGGTGGCCCAGAGGGAGCTAGGGCAGTCCCACGCTCAGGGGCGTTGTGGCGTCAGGAGGTGTGCCTGGAACCGCGCAGGGCCCTGCACGGAGGCCTAATCCTCCAGCTTAGGCCCCAACCACAGGGCAGCCTCTTGTGGATTGTCGGGCACCTGACTAGAATTAAAAAGAGAAAGCAGGGAGTGAACACACGGGCTCTGAAGCCTCGGTCCTGAGAATGGAGTTAGTCCCGTGCCCCAAGCCCCACTGCCAAGTAAGTCACGCACGGGTCCCGGGGTCAGCACTCAGACACAGCAGTTGGAGGACACAGGCAACTTCCGGTGCCCGCTGAGGAGCAAGGCCGCAGGGTGCGGACTCCAGGAAAGGTCCCCCGTGCAAAGAGATGGAGCGAGGCCCAGGCGAGCAAGGTAACCATGCTGGGCCCCTGGGGACAGCGGGCCCCTGCCCTGCAGGAGAAGGAGTTTGCAGGGTTCCACTGCCCCATGACGCCGGAGAGCTCCCTGAAGCCAGGCTCGAGGCTACAGAGGGTGGCAAGGGCCTCGACGCTCTGGGCCGGCTGTGGCTTGCCCCGCCTTCCCGACTTTCCCTGTTCTCGGAGCCAGCGCTCACTGCACAGCTGCTGAGAGGCCGGAGCTGTCATCACTCCACGAGTGTTTGCGTCATCGGCTGAAGAGCTTCAGAAGCAAGCAAACCGAAGACGTCCCGAGTAGCCTGCCCTAGTTATTGTGTGGGCTGAAAGTAACCAGGTGTGCCCATGAAATTACTTTTCTTCTTCTGATTTATGAAGGTCTGGGGTCCACAGTTTGAAATCTGCTGAGTGCGAGCGCTGGGCTGCAGCGCGGGGCCTGGAACTCTTCTACTTGCCTCCGGGTGGAATGTCCTGGGTCACCCACGCATAGTCCGGACAACGCTGATCAAGCCCTCAGAGTAGATGTCAGAGCCCCAGCTCTAGGTACCCAGAGGATACGCTGCTTCCTACACCCAGGAGGAGCGAAGGCTGCAGACGCGGACCCTGATGGGCGTGGCAGCCGAGCCCTGGCCAGCGTCCCGGGCCTGGGTACCCATGTGTGCCTCGGCTTACCAAGAGAAGCCACAACATGCAAAGACTAAGAGCCTCTTAGCGTGTTCAACACTAGCAGGTCCTTCAGCCGGCGCGCACGCTTAACCACTTCTGGATGAACGAAGGGTGTTTTTTTTTTTATAAACGTCTAAACAAGCTGTGAAGAAGACATGAACCTTAAACAAAGGAGCATCCCCTTCCTCTTGCTCTCAAAGGTGGGATCCGCTGATGTAGTCGACAGTTGCCCGCCGAGCAAGCTCTCTGCACTGCGCCGGTGCAACCCAGACCTCCAGATGGCTGCAGACTCCGGAACTGGAGGAGAGCGCGGGACCCCAGCGTCCAGGGCCAGCGCACCGCCCTCCACCAGCACGCTCCGCTGAGGCGGGCGTTCCGAGGACGCAATGGGGTTTGCCCTGCGCGGCCCACAGACGCCAGCTACGTAGGCTGGCTACGTAGGCGGGACTGCGCTGTCTGTCGGCTGGCGCCTTCCGCTTCCGGGGGAGGGAGGCACGAAGTGCTTGGTGCAAAGGAAAGAAAAACCAGTGGGACAGGTGGGGTGAGGTGGAGCCGCAGAATAGAGGGTAAGCTGGCAGGAAACAGGACAGCTGGGTGAAATTTTAAGTGTGCTTGGATACGTTTGTGTGTGTGTGTGTGTGTGTGTGTGTGTGTGTGTGCTATCGTGGGGAAAGCTGTCTCTTTACAGATGGTTTACAGTGTTTGAAACCATCAACCGGGTCCTCGCCTGTCCCTTTGGGTCTAAAGTAGGTAGAGACACTAAAGACGGTGCAGACAGCTTCTCAAGGGCTCAAGGCCCGGCCCTTGCGTCTCAGAGCCCCTCTGCCTTCCACATGCCGGGGACAGCTTTGCTGGATGTGAGATGGGGCGAGATGCACAAGGTTGCCTGGGCTTGGAGCCGGGGGTTGGCATGGCCTCATGCGCCAGGAGGGAGTGACCGTGCCCACTTCCAAATCGTCACGGGGAGCTGTGAAAAAAGAACAGATGCAGGAGAAGCATGAAGCACCATTATTCATTTACACCTTCCTTACGTGGCCAGGAGTTTGCGGCTTCCTAGAATTAATATATTGAGCACCACTCATGGATTTTGACAGCAGGGCCCAGCTTCAAAGAAGCCCTCACCAGACACTAACTGCCAGCGTTCAGATGCCCTCCGTGAGCAGGCTTTGGCCTGGGAGGCTGTCCCACACTCAGCAGGGGCGAGAGGACACTCACGCTCCAGTCTCCAGTGCCAGGGTTCTGCTCCAACTACGGGAAAGTTGAACCGAAAGTGTGACCCTGGCTCCCGAAGTGACTGCTGTCATGCTGGGCCCCATGGCTCTTGGTCAGGAGAGATGTAAGCTGAGGGGCAGGCCAGGGGGGAGACAGGGAGGCCAAGTTCACCTCTGGGGGGCTCCATCTCGTTTTTCCCAGCTGAGCTTGCTATAATCCCCACTGGATACCTAAGGCGGCGGTAACCAACGGCCACAGGTGGCACAGATTGAAGTAACAGGCGTGTATTCAGCTGCAGTCCGGGGCTAGGAGTCAGGGGATCTGGAGGGAGCCCCTGGCTTTGCTCCCTCCGGGACGCTACCAGTACCCCTTGGCTTGTGGCTGTGCCACCGGGTCTCGTCGTGGTCGCTCCTCTTCTGTCTTCTCTCGCTGTCTCTTAAAAGGGGCCTTGTGCTTAGACTAGGGATCCACCCTCAATCCAAGATGAACTCCACCCAAGATCCTCAGAGACATTGGCAAAAATTTGTTTTCTGGGGACACCAAGTCACATCCACAGGTTCTGCTGCTGAGAAGTAGGCGCTTCATGTGGGGGACACCATTTACCGACCACATAGCCCAAGGTGAAAAGGACTTCTGCGGTCACCATGAGTTCCGCCCAGTGGCCACCTGCCAAGCCTGCACCCCGTGCTGCAGTCCAGGGACAGCTACGAAGGCAGGGCAGAGGTGCCCCGCATTGCTTTTCTCAGTCCCAGCACCAGTCAGCCAGGGACAAGAGTTCGCCTTCTTCGTCACTGTTCTGTCCCTGAGTCTAGGACCCAGCCAGCACACAGTAGACGTCGGTGTACGAGGTCTCACTGCACATAGCGTGTGTCTGTCCGTAGATTCTGCTCTCTCCTCTCCCCAGTTTCCCTCCCGCAGCAGATCTGTGGTGCTGTGGGCATCTCTGGCTCACAACAACCAGCACATCAACAGGACGTTTAGAAATAAAGTAGCCCTGAGGATCTCCTGAATGCGGCCTTCCCCCCAGGGGACCCGGGGAAAACCGCAGCGGGCTCTGGGTACCTGTTGTAGTTATGTTTTAGAAGATCCTGTGATGGCAGCTCGTGGATCCTTAATCCCAACTCCCAGAGAAAACGAGTGATACTCCTGGAAGCCGTGGGCCCCGCTGCCACCAGGTGCCCAGGTCGATCTGACTGCGTGAGCGTTCGGGTTTAAGGATACCTGACTTCACATCTACGATCGATTCCTTCACATTGGACCCGCAGCCAAGGATGCTAACTTGCTGAGCCAGGCTTGTGTGACACCATGTTGACCCCGGAAGGCACCAGGCAGGCTCCTTACCCTTGGGGACACAGGACCACATGTTAGCTTTGTCCTTGGAGGTATTCAAAACAGGAGCCAAAAAAAAAAAAAAAAAAAAAAAAAAAAAAAAAAAAAAAAAAAAAAAAAAAAAAAAAAAAAAAAAAAAAAAAAAAAACCAACTAAAGACACAAAGGCCCCCAAACACAGCCCTGACTAGGCTGTGAAGAGCACACTTCCTTGCCGTTTAGGATAAGACCAGACCGAGAGACTAGAGCGTTGCCTTGTTTGACCTCAGCCAGGAAAGTGTGTTTCTAGCCTCAAAAATGTCCTTCTGGCTGGCCTGTCCTGGAATGACCTGAGACAGCTGAGACTTCACCGAGAAGGGGATCCGGCAAACTTGAGTCCATAGGTGGGGGAGACAACCTGTCTGCCTGGTGTGGCCTCAGGGATGTTGGGCTTGTCCTTCCCACGTCTACAGCCTCCAGGACCCAGGAAGTACCAGTGCCAGACTCCAGGCAGCATCTTAGGAGGGAGAGAGCTGTCTAGAGCCTCCCTGGGGTCCTCTGCAAAGGACACGCTGGAAAGTTGTAGGTGTGCTTTGAAAGGAGCTTAAGATGACACCCCAGCCAGGAGCTGCGGTGTGACAAAGCCAGCCTGCACCTGCTCAGGCTGCTCCGGGGCGGCCGCAGGCATCCCCTGCCGCGAGGGAGTACACCTCTGAAGACGCCATGTGAAGTCTGCAGGCCCCCCGGCTCTGAGGGGCAGACAGTGGGAGCAGCCGTCCAGCTGGGAGCCTGGCCGGGACTTCATACCAGGACAGCCACAAAGAGCAGCTTTGACGGAGGCGACATCTGTCAGCTTGAAACAGAGCCAGCGGCAAGGCACCAACTCCAGCAGCTCAAAGGGAAGCACTTCTCCGAAGCTTCCCTGGTTTTTTGTCTGCAGGGAGCGTGCAGGAGGGACTGGCAGCCTCTTAAGAGGAAAGGGGCCTCGCCTTTCAGAGGGGTGGGCGGCTGCAAAGGGGGAGACCCTGCCCGCTCCTGTCCCCACCTGGGAAGACCCTGCTGGCCAAGGCTCCTCCGGCAGGGTCCGCCTTTGTTTTCCTCATTCACTTTAAGTGTGTTTTTAAGCACACAAATAATACACGAATACCATCTTGGTGACACGGATCCCACGTTGCCAGGCAACGCGCCCTGCTTGGTGATGCTTCAGCAGTGCCTGCCTGCTGCTCTGTGCTTGTCCTAAGCCCCCGCCCTTTGCCCCCCATGCTAAGCACAGGTCCACAGGAACATGCAGGCATGACTTCCCCAGGTCACGTGGAGGCCACCATGCTCCCTTCGTTTGGCCGCTCAGGTATTTTGGCAGTCCCACCACATTGCTGTGTGATGCCCGCACCCCACTCAGCACAGGGACGGGGCTGCCTCTGGCAGCAGCAGGGCAGCAGGCCGAGTGCCCGACGAGCCTTAGCCCCGGTTTCAGCTCGTGCTGATTCACTGAACTCTCCGCCCCACGGGCAGCCGCAGCACACCGCCTGGGCACCCTGTGTGGCTGCTCCTGACAGAACTCTAGATACTTGCAGAAAGGGAGACCACAGCTCCAGCCCATGCCCAGCAGCTTCGGGAGGCCCTGCCTGTTGTGGCTCTGCCTTCTAGACTCCCCCTGGAGCTGCTCCACCGGCCATATGCGTGGCTGCGTTATGTTGTAACCTCAGTCCAGCTGACCAATTGAGTCAGATCCTTTCTAAGTTTCTCCTAAAATATCAAAAGAATGAAGCAGTTTGCCCATGTGGTATGTACCTGCACATGTGTGCATGCCTGTGCTTGTGTGTATGGGGGTACCCGTGGAGGCATACATGTGCCTCTCTGTGTGACTGTCAGTGTGTGTCCTTGTGTCTCTCTGTGTACCTGTGTATTTGTATTTA